GAGACAACAACACCTTTGAGGTTCATGATGAGTGCTTGACAACCACTGAATCGCTGAAAACACGGTACCCCATATGTGACCAAGGCACGGCAAAGTGTTGTACGCATCCATGAAAGTTCAATCATTTTCGAAGAAGCCGCTTCTCAGAGGGCAATAAGCACATGTTAAGGATGGACGAGCGAAGTGATGAGGTCTGCCATCCGCCTCCTCAGTACAATCGAGCGAGATAGTTTCCTTCCTCCAAAACGGGGGTGTGCCAAAACACCAAAGGAAGCCGACTCGCCTGGAAGGACCTGAATCACCTTGGAGCTTCAACCCTAAGGTAAGGCCAATACAACCTGCCAGCCCGCTGATCCCGGATCCTCATGGTTGCATAATCCGCAGAATTGCAAAGCGGGTTGAAGACCCACTGGTTGCACATGCATTGTGAACAACCGCAACTGATAATATTTGTCGTTCCTCCAGATGGCTCAGGAGACCCGAGAGGGGTTCCAACAGCAATCCTGTGTGGGCAGCACCCAAGAACCCATTTGTGCAGTTTCATCAAAACTAGCGAGCTCTCCAGGCGCAAGCCCCCTGCCGCCCCTGCCTTCTGCAACATCGCCTGCAGCGACACTTGGTGAGATGTCAAGGGGTGACGTGCTCGTTTGGTCTTACTCACTGACCAATGATTCTCAACGTCTTAGAATAGAGGGCTTCCTGAGTTGCTTGGCCCCAAAAGACCAGACCCCCTTGTCCCACTAACATGATCTGCCCAAACGGCATTGAGAAACTGAGTGAAACTGAGCCCGACTCGCTTTTTCTAAGCCGACCCCATGTTCATGCAGTTGGCTAACCCATCACAGTAAAAAACTTAAACAGTGCGCGGCCCTTCTCATTTACCCCAACCAAGCATGGTTGTCTTGACACTGTGGTACGTCCCCAACCTTGTGCGCCACACCCTGCACGTTTCCACGTGTATCCTTATTTCATCAAACGAATGAGATGAGGTGTGCTCCGTTCAGCTCAGTCCCTGATCAGAGCAACCAAGTTCCAGTTCGAACGGATTTGACAACCACGGACAAAGCTCTCGAGAAACCAAGTTCAAGACCTTGGTAGCACGGGATTCCACATTTTGACATAGCCAGTTCATTCGGTCCCAACCCTTGCCAACATAGTATGAAAAGCCGGAGTTCGTGGTATTCGAAAGTTTCCTGCCTGCTCGCATCCTGTCCGCGACTGGCTTGAGGCTGGAGCGAGCGTCAAGCAACGAACAGAATCAATGGCTAACTGTCAACGGCTGACAGCCATCAGCCTTTGTACCATCCCGCTGCGCAGTGGATTCCCCTAGAAGCAAATATGCATCCCAGAAAAAACAAAAAAAAGAGGTGCTCCTATTGCTGGAGGGCTTGTGAGCCAGGGGACATCCCCAAACTCGAGAAGCCAGGATCCGAAACCTTGGAGCCCCGTTCGCTGACGGGCGTTTTAAGGGACCAGTGGACGCCAAGGCGTTCTTTTTTCCCCCATGGCCAGTGGGGTTGAAAGTTGCAAAGCCGTTGCCATTTGGGGAGGTTCCCTGTTTCAGGACACCTGTCATGTTTCAGTTGAGAGTGTGATACTTGCCGAGGCGCATGGGCTTCTGATGGCTTCTGGTGTCCCATGAGATATTCAGCTTCCCTAAAACGAAGCGGTTCGGAAACTGCCAAGAGCTTTCACTCCCAGGCCGAACGGCCCGCGAAGTTGTTCCAGCGACCTCCGGATTTCGCTTCACAACCAAGTGCCATGCCCTAAGCCGTGCGAGGCTCGCAACCCAAGACAACTGGTGGCACTTGTCTTCCCCAAACTCTTCGGGACCCAAGGGCCACCCAAGGCAATTAAAATGTGCCGTGTCTAGGGTGTGAATGATTCTTGGATCAATTGAGATTGCTCGCATGCTGGTGGTTGCAGCATGTCATCTCGCAGAAGGTGGATGGTGTCTTGATGTCTTGTGGCAGGCCATGCGTGGTCATTCTCAGCGATGCGTTGGGAAATATAATGGCATCCTCCTCTGCGATTCTGGCCACACTGCCAAAAGTAGAGAGAAATAGAGGGGATGTGCCACATGTTGGAGCCCGTCACATGGCATGGATCACTTGTTGGATTGCTCTCAGCTGGAACCGAACAAGGGTTCAGCTCTGTTTGTCACCTACTCACATCAAGCCCGACAGAGGGTGTCTTGGAACAAAAGGACAAATTGTATCGGTACTCAATCCGCGCCGACTTCTTCCAAGAGGAGTCTCGGTCGACTCCCTGGCTCCAGAGCGAAACGCGTCACAGCGCAAGCGTCCGAAACAGTGAACCCTCACACCCACATCAAATCTAACTGTCGGTCCCTGGAACACCTGAACCTTCCGCGGCCATGCTAAAATTTGCCTGCCTGAAACAGGGTGCTCCCAAGAAGGAAGCTTCTCACGCGCAGCTCCCCGTGCCCGATGTCTATGCTCTCCCAAAAGTAAGTAGCTCGTGGCCGTGGTGGTAAGAAGCGATCGTCTTGCTTCTTAGTAAGGAAGCCTAAGGCTGCTTGACATGAATCTAGGGATCCCTAAAAAGGAACCAGGGATGGCTCAGAAGAATCGTTTTCTCATCTCAGAACCAGCGAGGCGTTCCTAGGTATCTGCCAAGCAACTCTTTGAAGGTGTCCGTGGCACGTAATTTTGAGAACAACATCACCAGCTGTCAGTTTGAAAGCCCCAGTTTGGCACACGGCGTCACAAGAAACAAAGGTAGGGCAAAGTGTCATCTTCACCATCATCAGCATCATCACCATCATCATCATCATCAACATCATCATCATCATCATCATCAGCATCATGATCCTAGAGCTGTAAGAATGTGTCCTTTACCTTGAGTTCCGAGACAAAGGGTTCTTGTTGAACGCGCCTTCCGGTCGCCACACCCCGCGAATACGGCAGACCGCTGAGGCTGAGCATTTGCTGGATAGGCCCAGCACATAGAACTGCTTGCGACCAGGAGCTGCTTCCAGTCCAAAGGAAACTCTCCACTTCAACAGCTGAAGGGCTCAAGGTCGAACCAAGCTCCCCGCATGCTTGCTCACACCCACACAACTGTGCATACCTCACAGGCAATGGTGAGGGCTGGACCACGCCGCTTGCCAATTGGTAGCAGACAGGGGGGCGAAATAAGTTTTAAAGGGGCTTGTCACAAACACATGTGATCAAATGTGCGAACACCTGGCAAATGAATTACTGTTGAGATAGCAATAAGGAGACAATCAGCACCTCGGAATGGGAAATTAGGAGGGCTAGACTGTACTGAGCCTCTGTATCAGGTTGCACCAGAGGTGCTTCGGGGCAACCCGGCATTCTGTGAGCAAGTGCCAATCGGGTACCTGCTTTTGCGCGGAACTCAGAAAAAGTTAGTACTTGTACCGACTTGCTGTTTACCAAACGCTCTGGTACCCGCACGTCAACCTCTATAATGGGGTCCTTGCGAGCAACAATCACCCTATGCCTAACGAACCCGAGAACATGTAGGTTCTTTGGGTACTTGGCTGAGTTGTGGAGCGTTTGTGTGCTGGACCTATCCTTGTCGTGCGAAAACGAACGCCTGCAGTGGTCGTCTTTGCGACGAAAAGGCCCTGTTGCCGAAAGACAGTCTTGCACTTGTCCAGAAGACCCCCAAACAATCCCATCGTGTGCCGAAGGTAAATTAACGCAGCAAGCATGCTTCACCTCGAGCTGTTTGCTGGATTTGTGCAAAAGGACCCGCTATTTCGGGCGTGTCAGGGGCTATCAAAGTCAAGTCACAGTGACTGTCTCACTCCTTGTGTCGGTTAAGGCAACCATAGACAGAACCCGGAGCCCGGATGTACAATCAAACAGGAGTTGTCGTGATGTCAAACCACAAACATGCCTATTGACTGCACCACTTTAAGGATCTCCCAAAGGTGCAGCTCAAGAGCAACCAGACTGGATTCAATCAAGGGGTGGCGCACACAAAGCCTAAGCGCCAGGAGCTCCTGATGTTTTAGTCAGAGCCCTTGCCAACATCCCTAACAGGGCGAATTGGAACAGGGGAATCGGCCAAAAACAGACATGACCCACTGCCGATCTTGGGCCTTGAGCCTTTGAAAGAGGTGCCCCCCGCCATCAAGGTCTAGCCTGAGACGTAGCTGTCGCTTCTCCATTTGTCAAACCTCGGCGCGACCTCGCAAGGGAAAGCAGCTGGTGGCCCTTGCGCCTTTCACGGCGACCATCTTTTGGTCGGAATCGCCTTCGTGATCGTTCATGATTGCGCGGTGTCGCGAACGCGGACGCAAACTGTCTGGATGTATCAAATATAGGTAGACAACTAAACGTTCGATGTAATGTCAACACTCCAATTATCCAATCCAATGCTTGACCATGCTGTTGTTGTTGCATTAAAGTTAAATGGCACCAAGGGCATATCCTGGTGGCTGCTATGTTTGCAATTCTGGCAATTGGATCTTGCCACACACAGCAAGATGTCAAAATATCTGAGCGTCACATTCACACCCCCCAGCACAGTGACTGTCTTGGCAGGCTAAGGAATTGCCAGCGCCGCGAAACTGCAGGGGTGAAACTGTTGAAGAGAGAAGCTGCGCTGCTTCGTATCTCAGCTGCTGCTCGCTTCAGAGGCAAATGCTGCAGCCTAACGAGCTGCCTTCGAACATCCTCCACTCGGCAACTTCTGTCGCAACCTTTTGTGTTGATGTCCAAACATCAACCAGAAGGAACCGGAAGCGAAAGGAAGCTGAATGAAGATGTGCCAGATCAAAGCTGCGGGCTGTAGACGGAACAAGGAACTTGACAGCAGAGTGTCGCTTGCCTCGCTCCGTCGCCCAGCCGCCGCCCCAATTGGAACAGTCGCCTTTCGAAACATGCCCTGATGCTGTTAGCGGAACACAGCCAAATGAGGCACTTTGTCGCTGTCAACATGGGCCCCTTTATTTCCCTTCGAAAAGAGGTCACCTATTTTGAGCTGTACCCAACTGGAAAAAGACAAGCTGTGGGGCGCTGAGGCACGGCTTCGCGCATCGAGCGCCAAGCGCATCCGAAAGAATTCCGCGCAGGTCACTGTGTGCCATGAAGCTCCTGGCGGGGTGCACCCTAAAAATATGTTCCCATACAACTTCCTTTAAGATGATGGAAACCAGCTCCCAACACAAGATCAAAGGGTTCCCTTGGGGCACAAACTCAAAATCGGAGGGTTCCGTTGCTGTACCTTTAAACCAACCCCCCAAAACAAACCACAACAAAAGCACAGAAACACGCGCATGCCAGAAAAACGATTCGTATGGTATCGCATGCAGTCTGTATGGCCAAAACCAATTTACCCGACATGGGTTGGGCTGAAATCGCGCACTCTGCATCGCACCTGGCGGAATGTGCAAAAGCCCTATTCCAAAACCCCTCCACATAGATCTACAGACAATGTTCTTGCGCGCGAAGGGTGGGCTACAAGACTGCAGTGCGTTGGCGCAAAGAGCATACGACTTCAGCACTGTGCTATGCTTTTTCTTATGGGATTCAAGGACGACCCGAAACGCACCGGCCAAGGTCCGCTCCCCCCGCCCCCCAATGACCTGGAGCCGCAGTTGTAAAGCTCCCGGACTTTGCTCGCAGTTCTTTGGCAAGGGCGTGTGCCCCATTTCATACAGCGTGTATCAAAGCAACGACTGGGCTGGAGAAACCGCATGAATGGCGTCCACAGCTCCACGTTTCTTGGCTCAGCGCAACACTCTTACTGGCGCAATGTTGAGAGTCAGTGAAGACTGAGAGCTCCTAGGAGGGAAAACGTTGTCCATGTGTTGCAAATGAGTGCAGAAGAAACAGTGATGGTGCATGTTTCAAAAAATGCACGTTCAAAAAAGAGCAACCCAGAAATTTGGGGACCTCGCCAAGTATTTGTTTTTCGGCTTCCAGTTGTGCATTTGTCAGGTTATGGCGATAGCCTCCTGAGAAGGAACTTGCGAAACGGTTCTCTTCCTTTCCTATGAAGGATCAGGCCTCCCTATCCTGAAACAACTGGCTGGCTATGGCACACTCTTCAGTCTTCCTGCCTGTCTGGTCTGCTGCAAGCCTGACAGGTTTGGACGCACAAGGCTCAAAGCCACACAACGAGCCACAAGGGGCTGAGGAATCTTGAGTGGAGCGGCGGTGATGTTTTTGAACATCTTTCAATGTTACTTACCAAGCGTAAATGCCGATGGTTCCCACGCCGATTTGGAAGAGACAAGACGACGAAACTGAACATAATAGGAAAACGAGGAGGTTGCACTGGAGCTTTCAAGCCTTGTTGTTGCGCGCTGAAGTTTGGAGCACTGGAAACCCTTCTGAACCTCCACGTAATTGGGGATGCCCCAATGGGAGAAACATCAACTCATGCCTCACTCGAATGGTCGCCGAGAGTCTGGGAAAGGGCAGGCAACATTGATCCTGACGCCTCTTGTGCTGGGGGAGTCCTGCCTGTGGTTCAGAACGAGAAACCGTGATTACTTGATCAAGCTTTCGGCGGGCCGTGTGTCGATAAAAAAAGATGTAGAGAAGGGATGCCTATTTACTCAGGGCAAATTTCTTGGACTGAAGGGTGCTTGTTGGAGGATTGCTCAGCGATAGTTGCACGGGCAAGGGGCCGAGTTACTAGATCATCTTGTCTCATTTGCAAAGAAGGACAGGCAGATGCTTGATGAGTGTTGTTCAGGCATGGCAAGCTTCCTGTCAAGCATTCACAACCTTGAAGCAACACACCCCCGTGAAGTAGTTGCCCTGCCAGCCAGACCACCCCGGATCTGGTAACTACCCGGCGCAAGGGAAACCATGTCAAAACTGCTTTTTTGCCCACCTCAGCTTCCAAACGTTGGTCCGAGGAAACAACCACAGGATTCGCGAGACGGAGGTGTTGAGAATTGTGGTTGCTAGCAAAGCGACAAACGTCTCCAACACTGGCAAAGAAAAGCCTGTGATCAATTAAGTAAGTCCCCCTCCCCTCGGAATCACAAATCGACAAACAAGTCCTACCCAGGGAATTGATCTACTCTTACAGAACAAACACTGCGACCCAGTGATATGTGTGCAGATTCAAACCTTGCCACTTACCAAAACGACTGCAAATGTGTTCCAAGATATTGTTCGCACCCAATGTTTGCTCGCTGCCAATCCGGTTTGTACATTCAACATATTTCTGTCACTCTGCTCTATCTGTGCCCTGAGATGTCTGGCCACCGTCTCGCTTTGGGCTGCTGTTGTACATGTCAGAACCTTAAGCCATGCTGCTACCCTTCAGCTTGTTGCAAGTCCACGTTTCTTGCCACCACTCCCCGTTTGTTGCTCCGAAGCTTGCTTTGTTGCCAGTTCAGCTTGGCCATGCACTGCGCTATTGCTGTTTGCCGCTACCATCTGCCCCCCTTCTCGAGCCAATGCAAGGCAAAAAAGCAATACAAATGTCCATCGCCATGAATGTGTCCACGTTGTGGCTACCAGTTCCCCATAGTGCCAAAACACAAACGAGCTAAGGGTTGGTTCCCGAACCTTCGCGAACCAACCTGGTTCCAACACTCCCCCCACCGGCTGGCACGGCAAATGCGCCTTCTTCCGCCGCTTGCATCCGCTTCTCCAGGCGGTTTCGCAGCATTTGCAGCTTGGAAAGGCCTACCTGGAGCCGGCGATTCCCGATGCTCCGCAAATTTGGGAGAGGGTGCTGGAACTGATCTGGGCGGATTTGCACTGCCAGAATTGGGGCCTCTCCATGAAACAACTTCCAAATAAGGCAGTTTGGTGGTTGTGTGGTGAGGGTAGGGCTGGGCGCCTTGTACCCCATTTCTGACCTCCACCTACATTCAAACCATGCTCTTGAAATCTGGACCCGAACCATCCGGCTTTGAGAATCAACCTCATCTCATCTAGCTTTCCCTTGGAGACATGGGAGACCAACTGAAGAGGAAGGACGGTGACTCATAGAACAATTGGACTGCATTCCCCGAAACGTTCAGCAACTTTTCGTGAGGCTTTGCTCTCACGTTGCTCGGCGCCAAAGGTTTTCCATGGCTTCCCTCGAGTTTTGGGCCGGCCCCCGGTTCGCTCGTGCCGTGTCAAAGGCACTGCGCCTCGGCCTTGGTCACCTCCCGCCTGGGCGAAAGCGAAACGGCTTTCGCGTGACCCCGTGGCTGGGCAAAGGCTGATCTGGGATCCCGACATCTGGATCGCCTACTTTGGACTTGGGGATTTCTATACATTTCTACTTCAGAGTTGGGCAATGCTGCTTCAGACTTGGGCAATACTTCTCTAGAATTGCGGATGCCAGATGTGCGTGAGAGCCGAAAACCAAACAGCCCAGGGATAGCATCGGTGAAGTTGTGGGACATGTGCCCAGGCAGTTTGGGAATTGTGGACCTGGATGAATCAGATTTGGGCAAATGTGCTTCGTCCAGGTGTGAATTTGAAGCGCATCTGAAGCGGAAGCCAGTCCCATTTGATCGTGCGTCAAACGCAGTTGGACACTCCCACATGGTTGGTTTCCTGAAGAGTTCCTTTTAGAGCTTTAACCCTCCCACAAAGGGCTAGACACCAACGGGGATCCTTTTGATCCAGCTGGCGAATCTTCCCAACTGTTATGGATGCACTTGGCTGATGAAAGGCAATGTTTTGCGAAAGCTTCCGCTTTGGTCATTTTCTCTATTTCCCCAAATGTTGATTTTCCACAAACGACACCAAAGACCAAAAGGAGACCCCAGGTGTGTTTGACAAGCTCCAACTTCAATTGTATGTGTTGATATGTTTAACATA